GGGGGGGGGGGGGGGCACCTCTCAAAGTACTCGTGGGCCGCGAGCCACAGCGCGAGCCAGTCGTCCCCATCCTGTCCACAGCTGGAGGTGTAAAGAGACGCTGCTCACAGCAGCCACAGCGCGAGCCAGTCGTCCCAATCCTCGTCGATGCTCCGCTCAAACACCTCGCGCGACGGCTCGTACAGCATCGCTGGGGCGGGGCGAGGGCAGGGAAGGCGGAGGGGCGTGGGGGGGGAGGACGGCGGGGCGATGCTGCGAGGGAGACAGTCGCGGGGCAGAGGAAAAAAGGAAAAAAATGTACGCGGGGCAGACGAGGCGGCGACCGCGGCGGTCTGCAGGCTCAGGGCGTGCAGGGGGGAGGCGCTGCACGGCTGCGCCTTTGGACGGGTGCAACTTCGCCATCTCAATCGCGTGCTCCTGAGAGGGGGACGTGTCGGGGACGCGTCAGCGCCGCACACCCGGCCGAAGCCTGGTCTTGCAGGGCGGTCGCCGAGGCGAGGAAGCGAGGCAGCACGTCGAAGGAGACGTTGCGGTACACGGTCTGGTACGTGGAGGCGAGCAGCCCCGACACCGACACCTCCGCCGTCGACGACGTCCCTTCCTTCCACTGCTTGAGCGCCTGCCGGGGAAGTGTCTCGGAAGTGTCTCGGAAGTGTCTCGACGACGTCCCTTCCTTCCACTGCTTGAGCGCCTGCGGGGGGGGGGGGGGGGAGGGTACTGCGGCGCTCGCCCAGAGGCAACAGCCGAGGGGGCGACGCCCCGACCGCGGAGCGCCTGCTTCAGCTGCTCCCTCAGCCGCGCAGTCACCGCCATCTCCTCGGGCGCGCCAGCCTACGGGCGCTGCCGCTTCCTCAAGCCGACGTCAGACGGCCTCCCGCAGAGGCGCACGCGCGAAATCGAGGCGGCCGCGCTGCCTTGATGTGCGAGTCAAAGATGGTGTCGCCGAGTGCCCTCGCCTGCGCGTCTCCGGCGGTCACAGCGGCCTCGAACTCTCTCACGCGCACCTGGTCGGCGCAGGCGGAGCCCGGGATCGGAAGGACATCGAAGGCGCCGCGGTGGGCAAGGTCAGCCGAGAGGAAGGCACAGCGCGAATGCCCAGGCGGACGCCTGCAGCAGTGGTTCTCTCCCCACCCACCTCTCTTGCCGCCCCTCTCTTCCCAGTGCGGTGGGAAGCGAACCATGAAGGCGACATTCTCGTTCGACAGCTCTGCCTCTGTGAACGACTTGAGGTACGACCTGCAGAGGCGGCACCATGTCAGACGCGTCGGAGCATCCTCATCATCTACCTCATCGAGCGCAGACGCTGAAATTGGCAGAGTCACAAATTGGCATTTTGGTGCATCTATGGCGTGAACAGCCGCCAGTGATCGGCGAGGAGGTCCTCAAGCGTGAGCTGCGTCTCGCCACGGATGTCGAACCGATCACTGACCCGATCTCCTGGCACCTTGGCCGCCTTCTTACCCATCGAGACGCCCCGGCGGACCTCGACAGCCGCTTAAGAAGACGGACACGCTGGTTGGTTGGTAGCGCGGCTCGCACAACAGCCGAGAAGAAGAATTCTTGATACAAGCCTCTCTCACAGCACACTGGCACGACAAGGGCGCAGACTGGCGCGGACTGGCACACACACAGGCTCACCACCGGAGCCGCCTAAGCGACTCCGTTAAGAACGGCAATGCACGAGAAGAAGAATTCTTGGGCAAACCCGCGGAGACCCGTGTTTACTTTACGGCCCTTTCCCTGCGAACGCGCACCCCCGGGGCTAGGGCTCTCTTGCCCGCAACCCGATGCCAATCATCCGGCCCGCTGGGTGCGCTTCTGAGCTCCCCGGCCCTGGATGTGCGGTTGCTGACTGCACTCCAAGTGCTCCAAGTGCTTTGGGGAACTGGCACGGGCTGCAGATGCAGCGCTTGTCTGACGTTCTCCACACCGCCGTGGCGTGGCCCGTGGCAGACGGTGAACGAGCTAGCGTGCGGGGATAGCGGCATTGTGCACGGAGCTAAGTGCATTGCCGTTCTTAACGGAGTCGCTTAGGCGGCTCCGGTGGTGTGCCGGTGATAGTGCTAGCACGCGCCAGTTCGCACCTGTCCGGCTCCTACCCGGATAGGGGTCTGTTGGCACTGGCTGGCCCCTCCCAGATAGGTAGGTAGGTTGGTCTTGTTTGGCCCAAAAAGGGCCCTGCAATAGGTAGGTACCCCCTATTTTCATCTTTTTTCGCTTCGCTGCGCGGCCTGGGGATAGGTAGGTAGGTAGGGCGTTTTGGCGCGAGTCAGTGCCAACAGACCCCCTATCCGGGTAGGAGCCGGAACCCTGTGTCGAGCCTGTCTACTGTGAGAGAGAGTTGTTTTGTTTAAATTCTTGCACGTTGTTAGAAGACTGTTTGTGTCTGTATGTCGCTCGTGCGTATTCGTGACAAAAAAGAATTTAAAGACCTCCACACGAACTGCGCGCGCCTGGCGCGAGGCCCCCCCCCCCCCCCCCCCCGAGGGCCGGACTGAGGCGCCCGAGAGACCCCGCAGTATCACTCGCCTAGCGGCCCGCAACTTGCGCAGCAGTCCTCCACTCGGGCGGGGAGAAGCCGTTCGCGTCCGGCTCCCTGGATGTGCGGTTGATGACTGCACTCCAAGTGCTCCAAGTTGAGTATCGGCCTGGATGTGAGGCTGATAACTGCACTCCAAGTGCTCCAAGTATCAACCGGTGAGAGCGCTTGGAAGGAGAGGGAGGAGAGGAGGGAGGGGGAGGAGGGCGGGGGAAGGGGAGAGAGGGAAGAGGCAGGCGCAGCGCTGGAGCGGCGCACGGCTGGGGCGGCGCGCGGCGCAGCGATGGGGGCGGGCGGAGAGCCGGGATGGATGGAGGTTGTGTGTGGGGGGGTGTGGGAGGTCGTGGGTGAGCCCTCTGGAGGTGCCGCGCGCCATGGCGCGTGGGCGGCCGGACTCGGAGTCTGCAGCCACGTTTCGGAGGCGCCCCCCCCCCCCCAAGAGCCATAAGAGTTGGGTGGCCAGTGCCTTCTTATTCACCATGAAGACCTCAACACTGAAAACAGGCCGGTCGAGCAGCAGGGTGCGCAGCGCGCCCTTCAGGACGTCAAGCTCCCCACCCTCCACGTCGAAATGGGCGAAGCTAAGGCGCTCGCCCTGCCACTTACTTGAGAGCAGCTCATCGACGCGCCGCACCTCAAAGTAGCCGTCGGCGTGGAGCTCGGCAGATGATATCGTTCCACCACCCTTTTCTTTCTCAGTTCTTGCGGGCAAGGCGACGTCAGACATCTCAGTGACCTTCAGTTGTGCACCTTCGCCACTGTGAGCGTTGGCGACTTCAGCTTGGGCACGTAGCCAGCGCCGCGCCGAGCCCAAGCCGCCGACTTCCGGCAGTAGATTGGGTAGGAAGCCGAACGACTGTTGCATGAATCGTATGTTGGTGAGGAGGGGGTCTATCGCGTGCACGATGCGCCCCGTGCGCTCAGCGTAGAAGCATGCGTCCTCGCCAGAGTTGGCACCCGCATCGATGATGGCGCCCGGGGGCATCAGCCCCTCAGCAAACAGACTGCCCACCAGGGCGCGGAACAGAGGCTCCTTGCTCAGCGAGAATGGGCAGCGCCATCTGGAGCTGTGCTGGAGTGGTAACGGTCGACTGAAGCTGCGCCGCACGAGTCTGCTTTTTAAGCGCACGCTCTTTTGCGTCACGAGCTCAGTCAAGTCCTGATGGAGCTTTTCAAGGGCTTCTTGAGTGGCAGAGCCATTGGCCGCTTGCTGATAGACGAGCGCGATTCGAGCGGCATCATCCTGTTGTCTTATGCACCACTCTGTCGTCTTCCAATCCGACTCCCGTGCGAGCAGCCGGAATGTCACAGACGAATGCAGAATACCCCGCTCGATGGGATTCGGCGTGCGAAGCTCGAACCGACCACATTCCCCGATTCCGTTGTCCCTTACAACCCCCCCGCACCACGCCCTGCGCTCACACGCACGCAGCGCAGCCTCACGGCCCTGAAATCGAACCTTGCAACGGTTGCGCTTGTTGTCGTTCTGAACGCGCAAATTGGTGTACCTGTCCACGACCCAGCATGCTCTCGACTTGTTGGAGTTGCCGCCGTCACTGTCTAGCTGGCTCACGTGGATGCGAGGCAAGGTGAAGGGCAAGCTGACATTGGGTGGTGATATTCCTTCGTGCACTTGCGACGTGTCCTCACTGGCTGTCGAGAAGTTGAGCGGCGTGCAGAACAGTGCGAGCGGCGCCCCTGTCAGGAAGCATACGAGCACGAGGCGCGGCATAATTTGTACCTGAGCCTCAGAGAGTACTGTCGGAGGATCCGGTTTACGGACGCACGTCAAACTACCAGGGTAGTCGTTCATGTTCACGGCTGTACACCATAGTAATTCGGCCGTCCGCGAGCCCCTAGCTCGCCGACGGCGAGAGAGATGCCACGGACGGACGGGGTCGTGGTGGCCGGTGGCAGCGTCCATCGAGTGTCACGGGGCGGGTTTCCCGATGGGTGGCCGGGTGAGGGCCCGAGGGTTGCGGAAGGTGCACGGCGGCGTCGGGCGGGCTTTGCGAGTGTGCTCGAGGCGGCCAGTTCCCGCCAAAGCACACTCAAATGCACCTCTCTCTCCTTGCCCAACTCCCTTGCACAACACTGGGTTTGGCCACGCTGTTTCTCTCTTAGCTTCATCAAGATGTGCGAGATGCACAGTCCTCCACTCTTGTTTTTTGTACTTGGGAGGCGCGATCCCCCTTTCTCAAGGCTATGGCCATGACCTACGGTAGTGCCCCTCACAGCACCGGCGCTACAACAACCCCGGCGTGTAGAGTGAGCAGTCATGCACCATGCGCACTCCACTGAGCACTGTACAGACACTAGTCGAGTCTCAAGATACACGGCTCAAATAGTCGGGTATATCCATTCAATCTAATCTGGAAGCAGCTCTCAGTGCGCGAGATCTTACGCGGCATCGGCGCCGACCATGTGTCGAGGAGCGCAGACAGGAGCCTGCTAGAGACGCCGTGGCATGGCTCGTCCGCACCAACACTCGTGACTCGATCTCAGTCCGAGTCCGAGTCGTTCTCGTTGATGCCGCTCTTGAACGAGGAGGCCCACGAGGACTTGAGCGCGGCCTTGCGCTTCGCGCCCGACGTGTACGCCTCCGGCGACATATGGGTCGAACGCTGCACCTGGTGCGAGCGCGCGTGCATGCGGCTCATCTTTGAGCCGACCATCCGGTAGTTGGACGCGTCGGCGTAGTGGCCCTGCAGTTCGACGCACTGGGCCTTGAGCATGTTGCTCAGGTCGGTACCTCCCGAAGGCGACAGGGCGACCACGCGGTGGATACGCTCGAGTTCGGCGCGGCCGGCCGCCACGTTGCCCGCGTCGGCGAGGCGCGTGGCCTCCTCCATCGCCTCGGCGACCATGATGCGGTTCCGTTGCTCGTCGAGTGCGGTGTTGACGGGCTGCTCCGCCGGCTCGCTCGCCGGCCTCGCCACCGCGAGGCTCACCGCGACGTCGTCGGGCGCCGACCGAGGCACGTTGAAGCCGCGCAGCGTGGCGTTCAGCACGAGCGGCGGCGGGTCCGTCTGCGGCGCGCGCAGCTTGGGCAGCTGGAGCTCGACGAGGACGTCCTTCTCGTCCTCGGCGAAGAGGTCGCCGAGCACAACGCTGCCCTCGGCGTCGCGTGTGTACGTGCTGCCGAGCACGCGCTTGACGCTCACGCCCGTGCCGACCGCATCGAGGCTCAGCTTGACGTTCTGCGCTACGACGCTCGTCAGCCCGCCGAGCGCGTCGGCGAAGGCGGTCGGGATGTCATCGGGCGTCTTGATGTAGTAGTAGAGGCCGCTCGAGCCCGAGCCGGTCGCGAGATTGCGCAGGCAGGCCTCGTTGTGGTCGGCGCCGAAGCCGAAGGTGTACAGCGAGATCGGCCCGCCGCACTTGGCCGACGCCGTGGCGATCGCGCCGGCGACGGCGCGCGTGAGCTGCGCGGGGTCGCGGAGACCTTCGTTGGCCATGCCGTCCGTAAAGAGCATTACTGCGCGGGTGCGGCCCTCCTTGCTTGCGCCCGAGCGCTCGAGCACTTCGATCGCCTGCAGCGCGCCACCGGAGAGGTTGGTCGTCGAGCCCGGGTGCAGTCCCTTGATCACGCCGTCAGCCTTGTTGCGGCCGGACTCGTCCATCGACGTGAGAGGAAGGTCGAGCCTGATGTTGCTGTCGAAGGTCACGAGCGAGATGCGGTCGTCGCCCTTGAGCCCTGCGCGCTTGACGAGCAGCTCGAGCGTTTTCTTCATTAGCGACATCTTCTCGCCGTGCATGCTGCCGCTGCGGTCGATGCATGCGACAAGATCGATCGGGGGGCGCTTGACATCGTCCAGCGCGGGCGGAGCCTTGATCGAGCACATGGCGAGCATGCGCTCGGCGCTGGCCGCGACGGCACCCTTCTCCGCCGTAACGTGCAGCTGGAGCTGCGGCATCGCGGTGACGTCTGCAGCCGTCGAGACAGACTCGGCGACGGCAACTGGCACACCCGTCGGGATCGTGGCGTCGGGGCGAGCGACCGTCGGGATCGTGGCGTCGGGCCGAGCAAAGAGGTTCATGCCGTCCATGTGGAAGGACGTGTCCAGGCCACCCCGGGATATTGTCCTTGAGCTTTCATCATGGTCCGAAGCGCGCTCGAATCAGTGTGTCCAGCGAGCAGCGTCGGATCGGAGGAGCGAGCTGTAGTCGAACGGCTCGATCGCACTCATCCGCGCTGAACCAGATCCTGCAACTTGTATGGTGGTGCGCTGGTGGCGAGCATGGGTGCGGCACCGGAGAGGCTGTCGCCCGGGTGGGGCGACGGGCGTTTTAGTTCGTTTTGTCGAGTTTTGAGGACTGACTGCAGCGATTTCTTCCAGCCCACTTCTTCTCTTCCACCTGTAGGTATCTTGTCCTTGGTTGGTTGGTGGTGCGATGGGCTCCCTCCCGCGGGGAGATGTCAGCTCGCTGTGCCCTCTGTAGCATCAGGTGCAAAGGAAAGAGTGGGCTTAAAAATGTAACACGAGGAATCTGCCGCTGACGGGCACTTTTCGCGGATTGCAATACGAGTGGCGGTAAAAGACATGCACCCGCCATGACATGCGCATGCACATGTACATGTTGTTGTGCATGTGCAGCGCCCTCGCCTCTTCAGAATGCGCTGACACGCATCAAAGCCAGAAACGCTTACCTCTGCACCACCAATACGGACACGAGCTCGTGGAACTTGGGCGGCACGCCGCGCTTCCAGGAGAGGCCTTTGAAGGACGGTGCCGTGATGTCGCTGTTCGCTCCCGTATACGACTGCCCGTGGACGCTTGAGCGCACCAATTTCGTCTCTGAGTTCAACTTCGATGGGGGCAAGTGGACATGCGGCGTCAGCGAGATGCGGCAGAGTGGACGACCGTGCGTCGTGTATTCATTCGGCTCGAATGCCGACTCCGCATTCGAGGATGGAGTGCGCCGCACAAACCCCGCATGCGAGATCCACATCTTTGACCCTACTTCAAAGCCGCCGCCACGCTTCCGCGAAAAGGAGTACTCTTTCCACGAGATGGGCCTGTGCAGTGAGCAGACGAAAGCAAACGGCAGATTGACGATGAAGTGCGACACCCTCAGCAGCATCATGCGCACGCTCAACCACACGCACGTCGACATACTCAAAGCTGACGTGGAGGGCGAGGAGTACTCGTTCTTTACGAGCGAGCCGTGGCACAGGCATGCGTCGGCCGTCGGCCAGATACTCCTCGAAGTGCACCTGTAGACCCCTACCCGACCTCCCACCTCAGCCTTCCACTCGAATACAACCTCTGCGGCCCTCTCCAGCTCTCCTGAGACCTAAGGTGTTAGAAAATGTATCGATCACACACCAAGTGCGTATATCACCTCAAGCCAATGTACGCGGCCACACGTGTAGGCGCGTTTCTTAGCTAAAACGAGCGCCTGCACGAGTAGACGCTTATATTCGAGCTCGCCAAATGCGCATCTGCACGTGGAGGCGCTCATGTTAGCTAGGGCTCGCACCTGCACGTGTGGGCGCGTATCTGACACAAGCACCTACACGTGTGGGCGCGAGCCTTGGCTAAGATGCGCGCCTACACGTGCAGGCGCTTATTTTTGCCGCACTTTCCGGGGTTTGCCAGCTGTGGCCGCTGTGGGCCGCTCCCAGTGGGGTCGTGGTCGAGACCGAGGTGTCGAACTGAGAGCCACTACTGGAGGCTTCCTCCGGCCACCGCTCGACTACCCACGCACATGGCCGGTCCTGTGGCTTGCCTGGACTCGCTCAGAAGCCTCAATTCGCGCACACCTTTGCTCTCTGGCTCCCGCGAGTGCGTTCAGGCCACTCAAGCAGGCGACGCCGAGCACCCGCGACGCATCTCGCTGGGGCGCCACCTATCGACCCGACTGATTGGCAGCATCAAAGACGACCCCATGACGGTCCTTCAGCCCCACGAGGTAGGCAGTTGCGCCCTGATCTCGCTCCAAGACGGCCAACGCCGTGTCCGGCACCTGCTGGCTGCTTCACGGGGATGCCCCCCCCGGACACATGCTGCAGCCCCGAGTGGATATATTGGTCGTTTGTGGGTCCCCCAAGACTACTCTAGTAGGGGCCGGGCGCTTGAGCGTCGGCGGTACACCTGTGCAGATGTTGCACGGGTGAAATGGCTCCTCGTACAGGGTAGGAGGCAGGTGGTGGGTTTGAGTGTCGTGAGTGCTTGCAGCCACGAGTGCAGCACCGTTTGTGACTCCCATGGATGCAGTTGGGTGGGGCACGGTGCTGGGGGGCGGTCCGGTGCGCCACAACAGCCTCCCTGGCTGACCCCCATCCAGTTCGACACCTCTATCCTGACCGTGGAACCCCAACTTCAACCGGTCATATCTCGGGCGGACTGGCATCTCAGGAGCTCATCCTGGGCGGTTTGGGGAAGTCTTGGGGGTGTACTCGAAGGTGGGAAAAAGAGTTTTGCGCGAGATCTTAACCGGGGGGCAGTCTGAGCACCGTGAAAACAGCGGCCCACAGCTGCCACCCTGTTTCTTCTGTGCCGTTAGTGAGTCTCGTTGCGCCAGCGCAGCAGGCGCGCAGCGCCATGGCCGGCCACCTGGACGTCGACTCAATCATCGAGCGGCTCATGGCCGTCAAGAGCGCACGGCCGGGCACCTGCGTGCCCATCGCTGATAAGGAGGCGGCAGCGCTCGTCGCGGCGGCGGAGGAGGTCGTCTCTGGCCAGCCGGCGCTGCTTGAGCTGGAGGCGGGCTGTGCAGCACTCCCGCCACCGCCGCGCTCGTGCACACGCCCCGCCGCCGCCTCGTCGCCAGCCATCCTCGCCGTCACCGCCGCCGCAGTCCGCCACCCGCCGCCCGCCGCCCGTCGCCCTCCGCCCGCCGCCCGCCGCCCACAGCCGCCTGACCCTGCTGGCCTGCCGCCGCCCCGCCCGCAGGCGCCGATGCAGATCGTGGGCGACATCCATGGGCAGTACTCGGACCTGCTTCGGCTGCTCGACTTCAGCGGCCTCCCCACCGGACCAAAGGGGCCGCGCTACGTCTTCCTCGGCGACTACGTCGACCGCGGTGCCACCGGCCCCTGCCCCGCCACACGGCCTGCCACCGGCCCCTGCGCCGCCACACGGCCTGCCACCGGCCCCTGCGCCGCCACACGGCCTGCCACCGGCCGCCTGGCCAGGCGCCAACGGGCTCGAGTGCATGTTCCTGCTGATGGCGCTCAAAGTCAAGCACCCCGACCAGGCGGCAGTCCCACCTCCCCTCCTCCACCTCCCCTCCTCTCCCTCGCCTCCCCTCCCTCGCCTCCCCTCCCTCGCCTCCCCTCCCTCGCCTCCTCTCCTCCTCCCCCTCCCCTCCTCTCCCTCGCCTCCTCCTCTCCTCCTCTTCTCCCCTCCTCCTCTCCTCCCCTCCTCCCCTCCTCCCCTCCTCCCT